TGTGCGTCGGCGACCATTGTCGGTTGAAGCGTCCGCTCAAATTGCCATCATGGTCGATCGTTCCTTGCATAAATGTCTAAAGAGAATGAGAAGAGAAGAGAAAAACGTCAACGATCGAATCGAAAAGAAAAAAGTTTTTTTCGGTGCACGCAACCGACCTTTTCGCTGACGAAAATCGAGCTGAAACTATAAGACGGGTCCTGAGTTTGCGACGCAAGATTGAACGAATGTGTGACTTGGAAAAATGGACTGTGAGAGAGCACTTTGGCCAGGTCTGCGCGTGCCCCATCAAACATGTAATTCGTAAGTTGAGTGGCTGCGCGTTACGTGTCGAAATCGCATCAGTAAATGGTTTGCATGGGTTTGAAGATGGATTTTAAGCAGACCTTTTACTTCTTTTTGGAGGTTCTCGACGCTGCCTGGGTTGGGTAACCCGAGGCCTTTTCTCCATGCCCAGAAGCGGTCATACAGGTTGGTAGCGGGGCTGACGAAGGGGAGAGAGGAGAGTTTAGAAGGAGAAGAAGGAGTATCTAGAATAATTGGAACGGTAGCATCCATGGAGCCAGCTCGGGGGGGTAGGTTGTACGCCATGGTCGAAGCCAAGTTTTTAGAGGCCAAAATAGCAAACACCAGGCACTGTTGCCTTGCACTTTGAATTTATTCACAACTTTTATTTACAAGTTCGATACTACAACTTGTATGTTTGCAAGTATGTGTATCTCTTGTGTATGGATTCGACCAATACTAGCATCGGTATTGCACGTTATTCGTCGGCCATTGTAGGCCATATCCACGACAGTTTAGCCCCTTTTTATTCAATTTCTTTTTATTCACACAAGTTGGCGTGCCGATAGTACGGCGAGAAAAGCAGCGAGCAGTGTGGGCAAATTACTCGACGAGCACTCACAGCCCATCGAGCCCGACACCGCGCCCAGCCCAGTCGCATCATCAACAATAAAGATTATTCCCTGGTAATTGTGGAAATTGTGCAGGATATTGCAGACGAGCTCGTCGTGAATACATATCGAATTGTTTCGAGTATCGGATGAGAGAGCCAAGTGAATGGCCGTAGGAGAACAGAAGGCTGTCCGCTATTCGAGTTCCCATCCCACACCCACCACTCAAAAATGGACAAGCCTTGGACCCCACCACCTCTCTCTCTCTCTCTCTCTCTCTCCCTCTCCCCGCTCATCCTACTCGCCCTCGCTGCGTCTGCTCGTCTGCAAAGACCAGTCTCTGAGCCGCTGCTGCTTTTTTGGCAAGCGCAGATCGACTCAGTTCGTGCCGACGTCGTCGATTCACACGATACTCTTCCAGGATTGCAGACCGCCCGAGCTCTCTCTTCAACTCTACTATTTCGACTATGGCTCGTTTATATCCTCGTCAAGATACGGGCGACCTCAGTGGGACAATCACCAACCCTGCCGACCCGACGGGTACCTCTTTCCAGACCAATCCCTCGGCTACAGCTAACCAGCAGGTGTGTATTTTTTACTTTTACAGCACTACTTTATCCTTATTCTCTTGCCTCCCCACCGCTTCCTTGTCTCGCTGGGCGCACGTAAATGACCGGGCCGCTAATTTTCTCTTTACTGTACCCGTCGCCCCCCCTACGCAAATGTCAATTTCCTCGCGACTCCTCGAAATGAAGCCAAACCCAAACACATCTTCCATCTTGACCTCGGCTTCACGTGCTGCTTCGAGTCTATCATCAGCCGCCAATGCCTCGTCGTCACCCTCTTCTTCGTCGTCGTCCTCGAAGGGCGGAATCCCGACCCGCACGCTGATCATCATTTGCGTCGTCGCCTTTGTCGTCGTCGCCGCACTCGTCATCACTCTTATTTGGTTCGGAGCTCGAGCTCGTAAACAAAAAGCTGGTGCGGGTAATGCTGACGATGTTACCCTGGACGCCTCGGGCGAGGACGCCCATCAGAAGGGCATCTACCCCTCGACTTCGAGTCACGCTGGAGCCGGAATGGGAGGTGCACCAGGTTTAGGAGGTGCTGGCTTTGGCATGATGAATGGTGGTGTCAAGCATAATGGTGGCAGTGGCAATGGCAATACGATCGTGCCCATCCCCCTCAAAGGTCTCGGCGTCGATAGCAGTGAACAGTCGAGTTATTATTCCCAGTCCACCGGTCGAAAACCCGTTCAGCCGGGATCGGGCTATGAACATGCCAGGCGGCCGACTGCCGATAGCTACGACTCGAGATCGAACTTTGATTCGCCAAAGGATGGCAATGATTCTGCCCCGCCAAGGAGTGCAGGTGCCGGTAGTATTAATAATGGCCAAGCGGCTCCTCGATCTGGCTCGGCACAAGCGATAACCCGCCCATATGTGGTCGGTTCGCACCCTTATTACCGCACGAGCAATGCCCAATCATCCTCGACCGAAAATCTCGGATACACGTCTACCAATAATAACGTCCCCTATTCCAACAACAACGCTTCTGTCACGAGCAACACTCCCTACGTCATCC